CAAGCACCAGCAAACACAAAGCTTTTCCAAAAGTCCATTCCCCACCCGCTTGGCATAATTATATTCCAACCACTATTATTCATGATGCGTCTTATTTCGGATGGATTCAGATATCTGGAAGTCAAAACGTTATTATCAAGTTATTAAATAGCGTGACTGATCCATCCCTCCCTTCAGTTGGCAGCGAGAGGTTTGTTCTATTTATCATTTGTTCATTTTAAAACGTTCTTGTTAGTGATAAAATTTTTTCGCAATAGATATTTAAATGGGAAACGGCAATGTTCGACTTTTTTATACCATTACCTCATGTATCCCATACATATTATTGCACCAATAAATTTGATATGGAAACCGACTTTCATTACTAATACAAGTGACGAAGATAATAAAGTTACAAGGCACGTGCTAATATGGATTCATGGATGTGCTTTTGATGAATCATTTGAAGCACTAAATACGGCTATTGAGAAAATGGAGTTACGATGTGGTATGTTATAATTTTCGTTAATGTTTCATTTAGTGTGTTTTTATTTTGTTAACATAAATATTTTTTAAATCACAGAAATATCTATTTCAAATCTCCAAGATGAATTTCTGATGTTTGAATTGACGGGTCCAAGATCGACGGCTTTATTGCAAGAAGTATTAGATATTGCCGACGATTCTTCTACTTGTGCTGCTTCCGGATCCAATATTGAAAGAAGTACTGATACCGAGGTTATGGAAGTAAAGAAGGCTTGCATTAATAGTGAAGCACATAAGGTAATTTTTAATGCTTTTATTTACGGTACATTAAACAAACTAATTATGATATGATTAATGGACGTGCAAAAAATAATTTTACAACTAGGCTTGGACTACATTACGAGATTTGCGAAGTTCTGCGTCTTTACCACCAGGAGTTGTGCTTGGACTAACCGTTTTTGACCCACGATTACGGTTGGTACACTTTTTTGTAATATAATCTATTATGTAAGTTCATAATCAAAGACCTATTTATTTCAAATAGATTTCCCAAAAAAGTTCCACCGCGAACCTCTCAAATTTCTCCGTCATCGTCAGTGGCGTTGCAAAAGTTATTAATAAATTGGCCTAATACAGTTGCAAATTGTGATATATGGGATGAGGAATGCAGGATTCAATTGAAAATGAACAAAGTTAGTGAGGGTGAATTAAATAAACGGAGAAGCGAAGTATATATACATATATATATATGTGTTACTAAATTATTTATATTATGTATATAAAGTTTTAACATTTATTTTCAAAGTTACTTGTTCCAGGTCAAAAACTCATTCCAACGAATAAAGATTCGTTGATTCCAATATTATTAATTCAACGAGATGGTTTAATCACCACGCTTAATAAATCGAATAATGACGGTGACATGAAAAAAAATAATTCATCACCAGAATACAATAGTGGTTGGAATATAATTATGCCAAGCGGGTGGGGAATGGACTTTTGGAAAAGCTTTGTGTTTGCTGGTGCTTG